AGAGAGAGAGAGAGAGAGAGAGAGAGAGAGAGAGAGAGAGAGAGAGAGAGAGAGAGAGAGAGAGAGAGAGAGAGAGGGCGGCAGTTGATTGCCTAGCTACGTGGCGGCGAATGGGCGTCGCAGCCACACAGGATGTGACGGACGCAGAGCCGCACGAGAGAAGACAGCTCTCACAGCGCCGATTCGCGGGCCGCCGGATGTTGTGCACGTCGCTCCCGCCAGATTTTTTTTCCAGTTTTCTTTCCCTTGTTTCCTTCTTTCTTGTTGTCGTGTTTTTCTTTCTTTCTTTCTTTCTTGTATTCCGTTTATCGGCTTCCCCATCCCGGTGCCATCGAGATGCGGGGCGAGGGGATCCATCCGGTGATTCCTCTCCGGTTTTATCTCTTTTTTTCTCTTTCTTTCTTTTTATCTTTAGTTATTTGTTTATTCATTTATTCCTCTCTTCCTATCTTCTTCGTTCTCCCTCCCTCTCCCTCTCTCTGTCTCTCTCACTCTCTCTCTCTCTCTCTCTCTCTCTCTCTCTCTCTCTCTCTCTCTCTCTCTCTCAAATACCTATTTATTTATCTCTTCAAATATTTATGCAAAAGACGACGTATTAAAAAACCCTCGCCGGGTCGTGTTTACAGGCGTACCAAGACGATTATATAAATGCAAACATGGAACAGGTTTATGTACGTGTGTGCGTATGTGCGTACTCGCATAACGCCGTGTTCTGTGCGTGCGTCCCTGTGCGTTCGCGCGTGCAGGTGTATGGTTGAGAGCGCACGGTAGCGGTGGTTGGCTGGCGCGCAGATTGGCCGTAATGAATTGAGTGACAGTTCGGAGACGGCTGAAGGGGTAGCTTGTGAATGGCTGGCGAGTTGTGTCATGGCGGTGGTGTCATAGCTTTGGTGTTGTGGCGACGGTGTCATAGTGCGGTGTCAGCTTTGGTGTCATGGCGGTGTCTTGTCGTTGGTTCATCAGCTTTGGTGCCACGATTGACTCAGGTAATATATAAGGTAGATGTCATTGTGATGGTGTCATAATGGTGGTGTCATGGCGAGCCTGTGTTAACGGCCGCGCTCTATCTTTGGTTCCGACCGCCCGCAAAGTCTCCGGCGGGGCGTGGAGTGCCGGGAGTCAGGGAGAGAGAGCACCGATGGTCGTTAATGGCGTGCTTGGTTCGAGTGGAGAGAGAGAGAGAGAGAGAGAGAGAGAGAGAGAGAGAGAGAGAGAGAGAGAGAGAGAGAGAGAGAGAGAGAGAGAGAGAGAGAGAGAGGGGGGGGAACGGTCGTCGTTGAATGTGAAGCGATGGCGATCCGACTTTCCCGCGCGACGCAGAAAAATGTCGGGGGAACTGTAGCGAAGATGGATTTTACGCGCGGAAATCTTTTTCATAAGGAGTCATAATACATTTTTGCTTCGGGATAATTTCCACCGGGGGGGTGGGGGGATTACCATGTGGCTGACGCGCAATTAATGTAGTTAATGGCGAGACGGCAGCAAAGAGATAATTTATTCGTCCCCCTCCCCCTCGACCTCCCCCTCCCCCTCGCCCGCCGCGGCCCCTTTTGGGCGGCAGGCGGAGTGCCCGGCCTTGTACGGGGCAGCGCGAGGGCCCTCTCCACGCACCCCCTAGGCTCCCCCGGCCCACCCTCCTGCTTATCTGCGCTTTAATGGGATTTGTAGGCCTACAGTTAGCTTACGAAGGCCGTTCAACGCTCGTTTTTACACGTTCGCGTTTGGTTTATTAAGGTGCGTTCGTGACACCGTGAGATCGACGCGCTCGGGTTCTGCCCGCGGGTGTCGGGTATCCGTCGGGCCAACCATAGCAACATAGCTCTTGTGGGCGGCGCTTCCGGTGGCCACCCGAAGAACCTGTCCGACTTGGCCCGCCGTGAGAATTGTAGGGTGGCGCGAGGGAGGGCCGGGGAGGGGAGGGCAGGGGGCGGAAGATCAGCGAGAGAGGAGGTGAAGCCGTTCCGCGGGAGGAGGGCGCGGAGAGACCGTTTCGCGGGTGGCGGAGACTGACGTGCGCTATCTCCTCGCTGGCTGGGCGCTGGGGTTCTGTGCTTGCAGCCCTTGTGCCTGGGTGCTCGGGGGCCGGGCGTCGCGACCTTGCTTTCATTGGGCGGGATGTGTTGGCTCGCTTTAGGAGGATAGACTGATAGATGGCTACGTGTGTTGAAGTGGCATGTCATGTCACTCCGAGTGTTGTCTTGAGACGCCAACGCCATTGTCATCGATGAAACCAGTGTTTAAGAAGTGCATTACAGAGCCGGGCATCCTCAATTTGCGAATCTAGGGAAGACGATGCCCCTGAAATACCGAAGGAGGAGAAGGGGTCCGCGAGCATGTACAAGATCCCTACTTTCTTTCTCGTGCAAGTCTCCTTATTCGGCTCCGCGCGCCGCACTTGCTCCCTTTCTTTATGCTAGTCCCTGACGGCGCACGTGAAACAGAACCGCAGCCGGCATAGAGCATAGAGCATAGAGCATAGTACAGCATAGCCCATGAAAGCTGAGAGTTGCGCGGCACCCTCGGCGAGATCGGTCCGTTTGCGCGTCGCTGCTGTGGCCCGAGTTGAGTGGACGGGCGCGTGGATGTCGCCGCTGGAATGTATTTTCAGTACTGCTCTTCCATGCTGATCATGTGAGTCTGTGTTTCTCTTTTCTGAAAACTGGCTCGAGTTCGTTGAGTCGTCCTTGGAGAATTGACCTTTGTTGGAAACGATTTTATTTGATTTTTTTTTTGTATGAAGGAAACCTTTACTCCGGATGGTAAATATACCAAACACGCGCAACGAAACAATAAACAGAACGTACCAGATCGTTCCAGTTACTCTTTCAAAAGGTAGAGAGAATAGAAAGGGGGGAAAAAAGCAACAACAACAAAAGAAAAAAACGAGGCGTCACGCTGTTGTTACTCCATCGTGTCGAATGAGATTTAAGAAAGGGTTACGTCACGAGGTACATTTTAGTTTCGCGTCCACCTGGCGACGTGGTCAAGACAGTGGCGAGTTGGGGGAGCCTCTTGTGCCCTTATAAGGAGTGGCATTGGCGAGGCTGCTGATCGGTCATTACGCTGCGCCCAGTCCGTCCGGGAGTGTTTTTATTCTTTTATCTCTCTGCGTCTGTCGGCAAGATGTTTTTTTTTTCCTTTTTCTTCTTTTTTTTGGGTGGGGGTGGGGGTGGGGGGGTATTTTAGGAGGATTACGGAAAAGTGTGATGTCTTGTGGCGGGGAAGGTGGAGTTTAGCTTGACGTTCCTAATATAAGCTGTGTCCAAGAGTCCAAGATGACGTTTGTTCACGTACAAAAGAAGAGGTTATTATCGTATTTGCTTTATGATTCCCCAGTGCAGAGGAAACCATAAAGCCATAGAAAGGGAGTGGCAAGGTCAACATCGCAGTTTATTAGGGAAAATTGTTCTTGTTTCTTCTGCGTCCTGAGCTAATAGACTGGTGTCATTCCACGCTCGTACTTTTACTTGGGTTTTTACGCCTGTGAGAGGGAATTATTGTCAGGTAGAGAATGCGTATAATTTGAATTAGGAAATCGAGGTAAAACCTTGAAGGATATTTACAGGACTTTTGATAAACATGCTCACTCATTTTTTTTCCAAATATGTATCCATTTTTAAAAAGATATCCATTATTTTCCTTCAAAACACATACCCGAATGAATATCTATTCTACTGTAATAACGCAATGCGCTCGTTCATCTCTTTTTTTTCCCAAACACCGAAATGCTAACGACGACCCGTGTTCTCCCGCAGATGCGTGTCTCGAGATGGCAGCAGCGGAGGAGGACGGACGTCGCGGCCCAGGCTCAACAGCTCCTCGGACGTGTCTTCGCCGGACCCCAGGCGGCCCACCGTGCTCAGACCGCCGCGGCAGGTAAGGGCGGAGGAGGGCAGGGGGAGGGGGAGGAGGGCAGGAATTTGGACACTGGATTTGGACACGCACGCTCAGACACACACACACTCTCTCTCTTTCTCTTTCTCTTTCTCTTTCTCTTTCTCTTTCTCTTTCTCACTCACAAACTCACTCACTCACTCACTCACTCACTCACTCACTCACTCACTCACTCACACACACACACACACACACACACACACACACACACACACACACACACACACACACACACACACACACACACACACACACTCACATACACACACACACTCACACACTCACTTACTCACTCACTCACTTACTCACTCACTCACTCACTCACTCACTCACTCACTCACTCACTCACACACTCACACACTCACACACACACTCACACACACACACACACACACACACACACACACACACACACACACACAATTTTTTTTTCTTTTTTCTTTCTTTTTATTTGAGGGAGAGAGAATTTAACATTTATTTAGTTAGTTACATTTTTTTTAATGAATTTATACTGATGACATGATTTAAGCCTTATCTGTTTAGCAGTGAATATTAATACTGAGTTGTTTTATGTAAATCCCTGCAGGGTGGCTTGTCAGAGGGAGAGGGAGGTGGAGTCTGCATTGACCGCACCTCGTATCACTACATGTGCCAGGATGTCACGGCCCTCAAGACCATGCTGCTGCGTCTCAGAAGAGTTCTTCAGGCTGCCGACACCATAAATCCATTTGATGCCAATCTACGGGTACGCGGCTGGTGTTTTTTGTGTGTAATGTAGTGTGAGGTGTTGGGGTGATGATTGCTGGTATTTTTGCAAAAAAGGAAAAAGGAGAAAAAGAGAAAGAAAGGGAGAAAATAAGAAAAAAAAAAGGTCCATGGCTGTACTTATTAATTCTGTATGGTGCTCCTTGTTCTTGATTCATTATATTCAGTAATGTAGAATGACTGTCATCAATTCTGGAGAAACTCATTGCCTATATCATTTTCTGTATAATTTATGAACTCTTTAAAGCATGCCTTACACCTTTGCATTACTGAATTTTGATATTTATTTTCCTCTTTTCCAGAACTCATTATATCTCAGCCTAGCCAGCAGTGACTCTCCA